TTGAGGAAGAGTATCTGTTCCAAAGATTATTGTAATGAAGTGAAGGGAGAAGTTGACCACAGTGTCTTGTTGTAGTTGCAGAAAATATTCATCAGACAATAGAGAGGGTTGTATTATCCAGTCATCCAGTGACTCTTGGTAATCCGAAGGATGAGATTCCATATTTCATCACTTCCATGTAGGTTGATCAATTCACCTATGTGTGCGGAGTCAGGCATGTAGGTCGTCCGATGCGTGTTATTTCCCAACCAGTTAGATAACACTTCTGCACTTGATTGAAAAGTAGTGAAAATGTATCCATCAAAAATGCAATAAGTGAGCACTTGATCAATCTTGATCACACCATTACAACTGGTTCACGGTTCATAGTTATTGACAAGGTGAAAAGAAATTTGTCAAAAAGCTACGTTCCACCTTTCTAATACACAAGCTTCTTTCGTCATATGCATGGTAGAAAAGTTGAGCACTCCTTGTTGTTACCCTGGACTTACTTGATAGCTATGAGTGTCAACCTTTATCTTCCCATCTGTCTCTCTTAATACTCACTTCTTTTTTAAACATCTCACCACAGTATTTAATAACTCAACATTATCTTCATTTTGTTTCTGTGCTACTCTTGATCAAACTTTATCTTGATAGTTATCTTTACATATGATGCAATATTATGCTCTGTGTTGGTCTGTGTGGTGTTTTGAGAGTAATCTCCACTTGTGATATTTTGATATCAGTTAAAATGAAAATCCGTTATACCGGATGATTTTGTTACTAGATTTAGTGGAATAAAGCTTTTAACTATTTAGTATGCTGGAATAAAACGTACAAACTGCGATTGTGCGTGTGTAGAGAATGAAATCATCGAAAGTAAGTATCTTCTCTGATTTTTTCGCTTCTGTCACCGCACCAAAGTTTTTGGTTCACTGTATAACGTACGTAATAGGAATGTTTCAACAATAATGCCGGATACATGGAAAATACTACCACAGTAAAACCAAATAACGTAGATCAATAAAACAATAACAAATGATGTGCAACTACTTTGGGCAATAAATTCTGCTTTAAACGTCACTGGTAAATAATTGTGTATTATTTTGTATTGTACGAAGTAGACTAATCTGATGCATAACGTCCAGAAGTTTCAAACAATGGTTCCTTGTTTCGAGTCTACTTTAGAGTAAAAGCACTCACTGTAGGCTAGTACGTTCAACTGACGAGACCCATATTGGACAGAACCCTCACTGTAGATTCCACTGCTAGCCTTTATTCGGTGTCAGTATGCATGCGACAGTTTGGTGCTTACGTGACATAGAAATGTGACTGATTACTTTCTATATTATTCGTCTTGACTTCAGTATGTACATGAATACATGTAACTGTCAGTCTATCTGTGTTGCCCTCATTATGCACAAATATCACCGGAATATTTGGGAAATCCCTTTATCCTATTTATATCTTCTATCATTGCTGGAATCCAACTCCTACCACGCAAACGTTGTTCATGTTACCCTCAAGCACATATAACTTCTTTCATACTTCAAACTAGCTAATTCACTGTGGTAATTTTACTGTTTCGGGTAAGTTTTTGTTCCCATTGATGTCTGGTTCATAAATATTCACTAATCACTCATAAATATTCAATCTTTTAAACATATCGCATTTGCTTTCACAATAGACACCTCAGAATTATTCCTAATCCACTATGAGTTCATTGTTAACATGATAAAAGCGTGTACACTTTGTAGGGGTTCATGTTATTTGATATTGTTCGGGTTGTAAGGTGTTAGAAGGCTTAACAAAATTAAAATCTGATGCGCTACTTCACTGCTAGTGTTTGTCTTGTTTCCTATGCGTTTTCAAATTGGTAAATATATGTGCTAAGTTAATTTTGCTTTGCTAAATGACTTCATTGAAGTCAGATATCCAGCTGTTGATAGTCAAAACGTCTAGCTTCCTCGTAAGCAGCTGCAAGTGAGCGTGCGTTCGATTGTGTTTTACCACTGAACCAGTGACGGAATATGAGAAAAACAACACAAGAAGCATGAAGATGTGAACTAATAGATTATAGAACAGACAGAGTATGACGATATTTAGTCATGAAAGCAATCGTAAACAGTTAGAAGGGAACAAACGTTAACGTAGTGTCAGAATCACAACTGAAAATCAATGAGTATACTTTCTTGTTCATCACTAAATTGGACCGGATCTGGTGTGAAGTCTTGGCCCATTGGTGTAGGGAGATGACTATCAAGCCGTTGGTTATGGGCTAGAGCACTGCTTCACCTACCGAGGCTTCGGCAGCAGGTAGTATCACTAGCCCTCACACAATAAGTGTGGCTCATAGTATACGCACGGATGCGTACAGAGTGGCTGACTACGTTTTGCCGTCTTGATACCAAACCGAAGTAATCTGTCATTTTCGATGCATGAGTTCTGAAATGGGGGCCCTAATATTTATTCAGATTTCATTACGATGCTATTTACTTGAGGAGGGTCATAGGTAGGACCTAGAAATTGCGTTTTTCTTCCTATTTGATGCTCGTCAGCTAGATGAACCTCCATCTCAGTGAGTGATGACGTTCCCACTGTGACCTGAAATCACCACTCACCCCATTGAACGCTAGAGCCGCATCCACAAGGCTACAGGTGCTGAAGAACCACTCCATCTGCGACAGCCGTTTCAGAAGAGTTAGTGATGGGTTCTAGGCTTAGTGTGAATATTTTACCCACTGGAATGCATGTATATACAGTTGACCAGCCTCCAGTGGGATGAATTCGCATCCTGGATTCTAGTGTTAGCCATTACCGAGCAAGCAAGATGTTTGGATGCGTCGCATCAGGAAAAAAAGATTAACCAGAACTCTGCACCTTTAAATATCTTACAAACGTAATACCCTATGCAGTCAGGGTGTTTCTGCATGCACTGAAGTAGATACACTTGAATGCTAATACACTTGCACTATTCCTTCAGCTTCAAAACCTAATTTTATTGAATTATTAGCTTCACATAAGTCTGCTTTCTTTCAAACTGTCAATTATACAAATTCAAGGTAGCTTCATAGTGATAGATAAGTAACAGCTGTAGAACTGTGAAAAGTCTTGCGGTGTCGAACGGCAGCGTGAACCTCAGACTCTGTGGAGCAGCGACCATGTTATAGTTCATTAAGTTGAAACTCATTGACCTATATTTTTTACTTCTGTTGCTTGCCAGTGTCAGCCTGTGATCTGAAATACTTCGAAACTTTGTTAAGTAATAAAAATCGAGAGTGAGGACGGATGTCAACCGATGATGGTGACTGACAGCCGTGCTATATCATGAGATGACAAAATTAGGAAAAAGTAGACTGTATTATTTCAACCAGATAGCTGAATGATACAGTGGTTGTCATGATGACTAACAGTCCTGTGCTCAGTTAAACGTATAGTCTTCAGTTTGGAATCCAGACTAGGATGAAACGGTTGTTTGTACTCCTAAGCCTTCAGAGTTCTTCAAATTATGTTCTTCACAATGGATTGTACATAAAACCAATAAATCACAACTGAAACACTATTGTACGTGCTGGTGAAAAAAATTGAGCAGCTGACAACTCTTCATATGGATCAACAGGTTTCAATGGTCAGTTTAGAGTTGCATAAAAATGGAATAACCAGTTTTATCGTTTCAGTTAAACTGTATTCATCTTTAGCTTGAGTAAATCAAGCTGATAAACCAAAGTTTCTCGGAGATTAATGAATCTCATTGAGTGAGTTGAAGATGGACTGATACAACGTAAAACGAACAAACATTTGAAATGATATTTATGAACTAAAGGTAACATGTTGATATTTCATAAAGTTCAGTGGTTTCGTAACAAAGCATTTGGTATTTTTTTCATAGTTTCCATTGAAACCCATTCAACCAAGAGCCTATCACTCAAGATTTGTTAGCATGGTGCAGGATAATGCTGTCGAGGCAAATTTCATTACATTTTGAATTAACTAGGCCAGTAGAAAAGTATACATTAAAGTAACACCTAAAATAAATCTTAAAATAGCTTCCATTAGCAAAATTATGTGGTTCAACAATATTTCAAGCTTAAATCTCTCATCCTCTTTCAGTATGATTGTTCTTTCTAGGCATTTTGCCATGTGGAATGTGGGTGAAAGATTTGGAAAAGACATCGTCTACACAAATAATTCTGGATGTATTTCACTAATTGGAGTCAAAGATTTGTTATCCATAAGCTAAACGTGAAAAGTTGTTACCTTTCTGTTTTTGCAACGTGATTAAACATCTCACAGGTTGTTGGTTACATTATAAAACGATCGACAGAGTTCTACCATTACTCAGAACTAGAGAATATGATATTGGTTACTCTCTAGTGATCATTAAGTACATTTAATCCAGTCGTATAGGAAGTTAGGTATAACCAAACAGCTCAATAGTAACGTCACTGAGTGATGTGGGTTCGAATCTCAGGCTTGATGTCAATTCCTTGCTGAAAAGTGCCAGAAAACCTCAGTAGACGGAATAGGGCTTGACATCGTGGATTACTGGGTAAAAGTGAAGTTTCTAGAAAGGTGAGACACAGTTGATTATGTTAGATTATCAACCAATCATTTAGAGAAATGGAATTGTGATGATACAGTCATGAGTAGTTCGTCTGCTTGGAAATGAGATTTTCGGAGGATGAAATGATAAATCTTGATTGTTTGAACAAATCAAGTAGGACATGAGGACAACTATGTGACGAAAGCACTGGATGCCTTTAACTAACTAACGTCCACCATAGTACACCGCGATGCCCAACCTCCTAGCTTATTAGAGATGTTGATAAATGATCAGTAGATCGATAATCAGTGTATAACTAATTACAATAAAGTTTGTGTTGTTTTCATGAAATATAATTTTATATATTATACCATTTAGTGGAGCAGATTATATGATTAACTTTAAAATATTTTTCAATTAGTGGTGGAATATAAGGTAGTATAATATATTTGTTTTCTGATTGTTTCCAATACAGTCTGTTCACGAGAAGAACTTATCGAATTGTTACATCAAAACAGAATACGTATCAAAGTAATGTAAGTTCCTTTTTAGAAGATTTTACAGACATTTAATTACATAGCGACAATTTTTGTTCCCTTTACTCCTGTATTATCTAAAATCTCCATACTCTTCAAACAAAAATTACAGAATAAATACATTTTACCGACATCATTGTTTGTCAAATACTGAAGTAAAATATGTTATTTGATACAAAAATGTGTATATCATGCAGTAGCTTACTGAAAACGTTACCTGAAGACTATACAAACTTCTTGATAGCCAAATTTTTAAGCCGCTTCAAAACATCATTTCATTTGTTAGCAGTTTTCATCTCCAATTGACATCAACCTCTGTTTCCAAATGGGTTCCTTGTGCTGAAGATATGATATTGCATGAAAGTGTTTACCAGCGAATCAATGAGGTAATTTTCATCCAATTTAGAACTGATCAGATAGATTTACCTGCATCCCAGTTAGTTAGTGACTGTGTTCCCATTAAGGCTCAAGCCTAACACTCATAGCTTCAAATGCCAGAGTGGTTTCCATTAAGCTACTGAGGAAGCTGGAAAAAGAATGAAACTCTTTTTTTGGATTGCAGTATTAGTCACTACCAGGTTGTTTACAAAATATCACTTTTTGTTTACTGGGCTTGAAATCCTAGTCATCAAATTTTGAAAAAAGCAGTTCGAAAGTATTACTGTATACTAATTATTGAAGTCATTTTTAAGCATAGGAAAGATATTTTTCAGTGAGGGTTTTCAAATAATATTTGAAGACATTCTCACAATATGATGCCCATTAAAATAAACACTTTTGGTATGTAACTATTCTATTTTCACCAAGCCGCATATACAGGTTGTAGGATATTGGGATCTGAGCTTACTCAAGTCTACATTTGCTTTACTGGGACATTCCAACAAGAATAATCATGATCTTAATCAAAATAGCCCTGAATTTGTAGAAATGTACAAAGTACTACACAAACATTTATTCAATGTCCAAATGCATTTGGAAGGTATACGAAGTCAGTGTTGATAGTGATGATGATGTCTGCAAGCCTGGGGATGATACATAAATAGTAAAACATCAAAGTTTCAGAGAACACCAAAACACTGTGTCGTTCTCATTCTGAGTTCCAGATCTTTCACATCACTTCAGAAACTTGTTATGCCTGTTTAGTGTGGAAATAAACCGAAGTAGGATTTCATATTTCAACCAAAGTAGTTGTTTGGCTTTTCCAGTGTCCAACAGATATTTTATAAAATAAGAAAAATCATAACTTTCAATACAAAAATGGTTTTAATGTAGATTTTAATGTAGTGCCAGAAAACCTCAGTAGACGGAATAGGGCTTGACATCGTGGATTACTGGGTAAACGTGAAGTTTCTAGAAAGGTGAGACACAGTTGATTATGTTAGATTATCAACCAATCATTTAGAGAAATGGAATTGTGATGATACAGTCATGAGTAGTTCGTCTGCTTGGAAATGAGATTTTCGGAGGATGAAATGATAAATCTTGATTGTTTGAACAAATCAAGTAGGACATGAGGACAAATATATGACGAAGGCATTGGATGAAGTTCAGGCTTTGTCATGAGTTGAGAGGGTTAGGGAAATTTAGCCCAATGGATTTCGACTTGATGGTCTTGAGTCTGAACTCTGTCGAGGTAATGGGTGCAAAATTCTGAGAAGTTTCATACTTGAACGAAACAGCTATCCAATGCTTTCATGTTTTCTGTGATTCGCCTGCCGATAACAGTGTATGATGAATAATAAGCTGACTATAGTTTTTTGTAACTATAACTGGGACAGTAAAAATACAATGAGACAGAAGTGTGGCATGATGCTTAATTATTAGATGTTTGCACTTACCATGATTGTCACTTGATCGAAATTAAGTCATGAAGTGGATTGATTACTTATAGCAGATAAAGACCATAGGACGTTATTGAAATGATGACAAGAATTGAATTCACTGGATTTGACTTCAGTGAATGAGGTTATTTCTCTAGGACTGATGAAAGACAGTGACACCTACACATATATGAACTTCTACTATAGAATACACTGGTATACGCTGATTTGTTGAGTACACAATTGTGGTAAAGAGAAGTGATTAAAGCAAAATAAAAGATAAAAAATGAGGATACCTTTCATCAAAACAGTCCGTAAAGTTTACTGAAGCTGGTGTTCATCATGGACTGATATCAGAAGGAAGGATATTGGAAGTCTGGGAGCACCCGGCAGCTGTTTCGTCCTAGTACGAGACTCTTCAGCAGTGCGCACCCGGAGTTCCAATTGGAAGTCATTATCAGTGTGGCAAACATGGTGACCATGAGGACGAATACTCAACGCTGATACTGCGTGGCGGTCGCTCTATGTAATGAAGTGACAGAAGTTGGAAATATGGTCCACTGGATTCCGACCCAGTGGCTCGATGGTAACTTGATGGCCATAGAACCTGAGGGTCGCGTGTCCGACCCCTGAATGACAGGGTGGTGGGTGCGCACTGCTGAGGAGTCCCATACTAGGATGAAATAGCTGTCCAGTGCTCCCAGGCTTCAAATGTTTCTGTAACTGATGTCAGTCCATGATGAATACCAACTTGTTAAAATCTCCAAGTTCCTATAAACTGTCGAATTCAATCCACAAAGTGTTGTATAGTGAGTAATTTTCCGTTAGGGAACAGTGTACTTCCACTATGTTTATTAAGATCACTCACAGTCGATATATATGCTAAGAATAAGGTTTACTCAGGTCTAATCTTTCAACGGCTGAAGTAACAGACTAGCAGAAATTATTTCTGGCCGATAAGCACTGGTGAGTTTTAATGTGAATTATGAACACTTGTGCAATCCATAGTAAATAAGTACACTCAATGTAACATAGAGTTGAGTGTGTTTTATCACATTCTGTTTTTCTTACTAGTACAAACTTATCTACTTATCTTCACAGTCGTCTTCATTCGTAGGTTTCAAAATATTCATGTTACTGCGTCTAATCATCTTCTTTTCGTTGCATATAAATGATATTAGTACATGAAACTCAACTTTATTTCAGTTTGCCTGTCTTTATTTCTCTATGCCATGAGTTCTGTTTGTTTTATTTGTCCGCTGATTGTTTTCAGTGAATCTATAACTTGTTGACTGAAGTAATCTAGGTTGTAATCAGCTGAGTAGGATGAAAAAATAATAATAATAAAACGAGTCTACATTACTCTGTTCAAGTGTTTCTCCTCGCTTTATTTAACTTTTAAGACTATCACATAGAGAAGATGAAAACACATACACAGACAGTTGACTTCAAGCCTATACACCGAAAAGTTTCACGTCAAAATAACCTAAATTGTATATAGTCTATCGAGATGACAAACATTACCATATGGTTGAACAAATTAATTGTAGATTATTTTGTAGAAAAAAAAAAGAACAAGAAAATATTATTGAAAAATATTTAAGAATATATTATAAAATGGCAAACCCACGTAATATCTCAAGTAAACAGAAACACATGGTAAGAGTTGAAATTATTCAAAATAAACACGAATATGCTGCTATTTCTTCGAACAATTTCAAACAAATTTCTCTCATAAAGTACGATTTTTTGACAGATAAAGATAATATTCAAATAGTTGGATTTGTATATTTTCGGTTATCAAAAGGTTATATATATATAGGGAAACTAAATATGCCAAAATGCTTCAACATTGAATATAGTCAAACTATGCGTACAGTTTTTAAAAGTTTTTATCAACGATTGTTTATCGTTACAACTGATAAAATGGTAACATTTCAACAACTGTTTTTATGCTTCTTGTTTTCATTTTTGCTTTCAATTTATGGTGATAAGTTGAATTGAATAGAATAAACTAAAACAGATTATTTCTATGAAAACCTGAAGCTGAAATTATTATTGCCTCGGTTAGTAATCTATACACATGCCATGAGTTCACAGTTAGAAGAATCTTCCAGAGTTAACAGTTAAAAAAGGATAATGGAACACCTCTAAAGAGTTTCTTCTCTTGTCCACCTTAATTTGTACGTGACTAACTCTGAACACTGAGCAGAAACAATTCATGGCATAGTACATGATGTGTTAGACACCAGTTCTTTGTGACGTTTATAGCATGTATTGATACTAAGTTTTTATCTATTATCATGTCTAGTAGTTGTAACGTTTGTGTTTTTGAAGATGTTACGTATATGAAGTATTGGTTCCTGAAAACAGTGAAATGAGTTTATTTTAGTTAATGAGCCTATAAACAATTTGTAGATATCCAAAACAATTTGGAATTTGATTTGCTTGGAAAAATTTGGACATTGGGCAAATGATATTCACTATTTTGGTATTTGTATTTCCTAATGAATGTAAAATAAAATAAATTTGTTTAAAATGACGTTTTGCTATTTAATGCTATTAGCTTTATCAAAGTTATAGTTAAACCGGAAATTTACAATATCTCATGAGCTTATATATGACAACTTGATAAGTGGTCTTCTGCATGAATGATTGTGCATTGTCAAAATTGTAGAATAAAGATGATATCCATATGTAGTATGTGAATTACAGACTGAAATTTGTATGTACATATGTGTTGATAGTTCTTATCGCTTGTATGATGGTTATGTCAGGGTTTGGGGTGGGTTGAGACCAGGTCAAACTACACTTTACTCCTTCAATTCTATGCAGATAATGCTGATAACACTTTATTTGAAGAGATTCTGTTTTGAGATATTCTTGATAATTTCTAAAGTCACCTTTCTGAATAATTTCGATATTGTCAAAATCGACCCCATGACCTGAAATTATAACATGTAGAGCTATGGCTGAATTCTTTTCCAGTTTTTTTCAATTCCACTAGATTTCTACAGGGGTCGAGTGGAATCCTTTCAGTGAGTATTTCTTTTGATTTTGATTTCACAGGGAGTTTTCCTATGGATATTACATTGCAATCTAAGCATTTTATTTTATATACACAATTAGATTGTTAATTCAAAGAAGAATTCGATTTTCAAATGAACTACGTGATGCCCT